TCCGTCGTCTGTCGTCCGGCGTCAATATTTTTCTTTAAACAACTTCTTCCTAATAACCGCAAAGCCTATGGTGATGATATTTGGCCAGAAGCAAACTGGGATAAAGGGCTACCAAGTTGTTAAAATAAATGACCTTCACCTATATTCAAGGTCACAGGGGTCAAATATGTCAAAACTTGAAACAACTTGTTCTGAATAACCGAAATGCTCAGGGTGATGATATTTGGCCAGTAGCATGCTGGGATAAAGGGCTACCAAATTTGTTCAAATGAATGACCTTCACTTATATTCAAGGTCACAGGGGTCATTTGTCTTAAAAGTTTCTTAAACAACTTCTTCTGAATAACTAAAAGGACCAATATGGTGATATTTGGCCAGAATCATGCTGGGATGAAGGGCTACTAAAATTGTTCAAATAAATGACCTTCACCGATATTCAAGGTCACAGGGGTCAAATAACCGAAATGCCCAGGGTGATGATATTTGGTCAGAAGCATGATGGGATAAAGAACTACCAAGTTTGTTCAAATGAATTACCTTGACCCACTTTCAAGGTCACAGGGGTCAAATATGTTAAAATCTTCAACAACTTCGCAAATAACCAAAAGGCCCAGGGTACTGATATTGGTCCTGTAGCATGCTGGGATGAAGGGCTACCAATTTTGTTCAAATGAATGACCTTGACCCACTCTCATGGTGACAGGGGTCAGATGTCTTAAAATCTTCAAATGACTTCTTTTCAAACCCAAAAAGCCCAGGGTACTGATATTGGGCCTGTAGTATGCTGGGATGAAGGGCTACCAAGTTTGTTAAAAAAAATGACCTTGACCAACTTTCAAGGTCACAGGGGTCAAATGTCGTAAAATCTTCAAACCACTTCTTCTCAATAACCAAAACGCCCAGGGTACTGATGTTGGTCCTGTAGCATGCTGGGATGAAGGGCTACCAATTTTGTTCAAATGATTGACCTTGACCCACTCTCATGGTGACAGGGGTCAGATGTCTTAAAATCTTCAAACAACTTCTTTTCAAACCCAAAAAGCCCAGGGTACTGATATTGGGCCTGTAGTATGTAGGGATGAAGGGCTACCAAGTTTGTTCAAATAAATGACCTTGACCAACTTTCAAGGTCACAGGGGTCAAATGTCTTAAAATCTTCAAACCACTTCTTCTCAATAACCAAAAGGCCCAGGGTACTGAAATTAGGCCTGTAGCATGCTGGGATAAATAACTACTAAGTTTGTTCAAATGAATGACCTTGACCAATTTTCAAGGTCACTGGGGTCAGATGTCTTAAAAACTTCAAATGACTTCTCCTCAATATCCAAAATGCCCAGGGTACTGATATTTTGCCAGTAGCATGCTGGGATGAAGGGTTACCAAGTTTGTTCCAATGATGACCTTGACTCACTGTCTACCTAATGTCCATGTTCAACATTCAAGGTCACAAGCGTCATATGTTTAAATCTTTCAATAGGTTCTTATGAATCAAACACTGATATTCTGCCTGTATCTGTATTTTAGTCCACTTTTAAGATTACAAGTGTGAGATTTTAAATACCGGTAGAGCGATGCATGCCCATTGGGCCTCTTGTACAGTATTACATCTCTATCCCACTGAGCTATACCTGGTCAGTGGTAGTTCTCTGGCCCAGTATTACTAATTATATCTAAAGCAAAGTTAAAAGGGAGGTTACTCTGTATACTAAAACTACTGTGGAACTCTCTCGTGTTTATCTCGCTTTTGGTTTGTTTGTGTTTCACGTCCTATTAAAAGCTACGGTCATTTAAGGACGTGACAGGTTTTGTTGGTTGAGGAAAGCCAGAGTTCCCATAAGAAAAACCACTGACCTACAGCCAGTACCCGGCGACTGCCCCACATAGGTCTCGAACCCACAACCCAGCGGTGGAGGGCTAGTAGTAGCAGAATGTCTGAAGACTTTAACCACTTGGCCACCACGGCTCTCTTTTGCTTCGCAGTGGGACAGGGATCCTTAAAAGTTGAATTGTTCAGAGGCGTTTTGTACAATCATCAGATTCCAATTGATATCATTATTATCTTAATGAAACACTTTATAATTAAAAAATATACGTACATAATTATAATATTTTTGTACACATTATCTTAAGGGGGATCATTTTAATCCCAGGACAAGTTTATTTTTTTGCACTTTCAATAATTATGGAAATATAACAGATATAAAAGTAACCATTCTATCATTGATAGGTTCTTACATATTGTCAGGTGGTTGGGAGGGTTTTATTCAACTTCAATTTTGTGAAGATTTACTGAGTGGTGTATAATACTGTAGCTCTCACATTGGTCTGGAAAGAAACCCGATCAAATCGTCAACAAAAAATTAGACTCAGGTTTAATTCTGTCAGTCTGAATTAGCATTTTAATCAATCAGCATCTTGTCCTTGTATCTGCTGACAAACATCTTTGTGATGCAGATGAAACATTGAAGTGCATTTGTCTGTTTGCCAATCATTTTCTATTCACGAGAGCTTTGTGAAGGGAGGTCATTGAACTAAGGAGATGTGAAAATAATTTTATCAGGATGATTTTTATGTGAATCAATTTTAAATAAAGATTTCATTAAGTAACCCTGTCAATTGATTCTGCAAAATGAATTATAAACAAATTGTTTCATTAAGAAATTCCTTGAAATTCATATTAAAAGATCTTCCAGTGGTCTGAACTCTTATTTCACTTTGATGTCTGAGCAGTAATTTAAATCATTTTGAATTAATTAAAGTTATCATGAAATATATATAAAAGTAAATCTAAGTAATGAACATTGATATCTACACTCTAAATATTAAAATGTTGATGTTTGTAATACAGGCAAATGACAGGAGCGAATTCAAGGTTAAACATCACAGCTGGCTTAATGTGCATGGAGCCCCAGTAAGGTTCAGTGTTAAGGAAATGGTATCATTGTCTAATTAAAATGAGAAGTCTTTGAAATTCAATGAAACACTATAAATGTAAAGCAAATGTAAGCCCTATTCTGTAAGGACATCATATGTTTGGGGGCTGGGGGTTCTGTTGTTAAACTCAGTGGCTTAATATACCCTGTAATAAGGATATATGTTTAATAAGCTCCTCAGCTTATAGAAATGAATGCTTATAAACATAAATTGCATTCAGGAAATATCACAATATGTTAGGTCCAAAAATTAAATTGATAATTGTCATCTTTAAGAATCTGTCTTGTTAATTTCGTAAAATTTGATTCAATATTTAGAAAATAAGATAAAAACGTTGATGTTGATTGGGCTGGTGACTCTCCAGACAGATTTTTGATTAACATTGATGATGTCTCAATATACTTAGCAAGTCTGACTGGTCCTCTCTGACATTTTAACAGATCAGTAGGGAGTTCGTTGTGGACATTTTAACAGATCAGGTGGGAGTTCGGTGTGGACATTTTAACAGATCAGGTGGGAGTTTGGTGTGGACATTTTAACAGATCAGGTGGGAGTTTAGTGTGGACATTTTAACAGATCAGATGTGAGTTCAGTGTGGCCATTTTAACAGATCAGGTGGGAGTTCGGTGTGGACATTTTAACAGATCAGGTGGTAGTTCGGTGTGGACGTTTTAACAGATCAGGTGGGAGTTTAGTGCGGACGTTTTAACAGATCAGGTGGGAGTTTAGTGCGGACGTTTTAACAGATCAGGTGGGAGTTTAGTGTGGACATTTTAACAGATCAGATGGGAGTTCAGTGTGGCCATTTTAACAGATCAGGTGGGAGTTCGGTGGGGACATTTTAACAGATCAGGTGGGAGTTCGGTGGGGACATTTTAACAGATCAGGTGGGAGTTCGGTGTGGACGTTTTAACAGATCAGGTGGGAGTTTAGTGTGGATGTTTTAACAGATCAGGTGGGAGTTCAGTGTGGACGTTTTAACAGATCAGGTGGGAGTTCGGTGTGGACGTTTTAACAGATCAGGCGGGAGTTCGGTGTGGACGTTTTTGCCATTGATGTCTTTTGTACGAGTTGATCAGCTTAAAATGATGAGAGTGGTTTAAGTTCATCAGAACAAATTACCCGACAGTATCCTCGTCTACGACTTTCATCAAAAACTCGCCAAGATTGGAATAAAAAAAATCCCACATCGCCCATCTGTTTAACGTCTTGTTGAAGATTCTCCCATAATCAGGCGATGTGGTTTTCCTCTTTTTCAAAGGATTTGGTGATCATTACTCCATAAAGGTTTATTACTAGTGGACAATACAACACAAAACCTCTTGCAATACCATCAGACTGCTCCGGAAATGGTCCATCTGTACTCCAAATAACAGTCTGGTGTTAGTGGGTTTTTTGACGCTAATTTTACCACAGACCCTGAATACTGTATACAGACAAACTATGTTCTGGTAAACTCTGGTCTATTTCAAAGTTTTTTGTCAGTATTAAAATAATGATAATAATAACTGGAGGTTCTTATCACAGCCTAGTTCGTAGGTCGTCTGAAAGCGGTTCACAAATTATTATCCATGGTTATAGGGCCTTAATTTGCAACCAGCCAATACATTTTTCAACTCCCAGGGGAGCATACATCCGGATCTGCTATTTCGGCGCTAACAGCTAGCATTCAACAATTCTAGCATTGCCAAACCACATACTCATTTACAGCTGAGTAGACTGGAACAAGCGGAGTAAATCATCTTGCTCAAAGATACAACACATTGCCATGCCGTGGCGCAAACCTGCAACCCTTCGGTCACGAGCCCGACGTCCTACCACTGGACTACTGTGCCTCCTAATTATATTAATTATGATTCTGATCAGGTATCAAAAATACTTTTAAATTTGTTCCCAAGCCAGGAGATATGAGGTTCAGTCGTATACAGTTGAACATCAATGTCTGCAATGTGCTGTTTATCTTGTATATTTGGTCTCAGCAGTTCAACAACATCTACACAATTATGTTAATACACTGTTTAGGGACACAACATAAGGTCACCCTAACACCAGGAACACACGCCTACCCACACACTTATATCCAATCCCATTCGACCTCATGCCAGGCTGAGGGCTGTCAAATGCTGTTGACCTCATGCCAGGCTGAGGGCTGTCAAATGCTGTTGATCTCATGCCAGGCTGAGGGCTGTCAAATGCTGTAGACCTCATGACAGGCTGAAGGCTGTCACATGCTGCAGACCTCATGACAAGCTGACGGCTGTCAAATGCTGTAGACCTCATGACAAGCTGAGGGCTGTCAATTCTGTAGACCTCATGACAAGCTGAAAGCTGTCAATTCTGTAGACCTCATGACAAGCTAAGGGCTGTCGGATGTTGTGGACCTCATTGCAGGTCAGTGGCTGTCAATTGTTATAGACGTCAAGGCCAACTGTGGCTGTCTAGATTCAAACTTTCAAATGACCTTGACCTCGCAGCAGACCCTGAAGTGCTGTTGAATGCTTGAGACCTCATGCCAGACCAAAACTGCTTAACCCAGATATCCTGGTGACACATTTCAGTTTGACTGTATGACAATAAACTAGTTTTGACACTGTAAGTAGAGCTATTAATGTTGAGTGTTTACTTCCACTTGCACCAAACTGCAGATGGATGCTGTTTTTTGTGTGAAGTATGACTACTCTAGCACCAGACTTCAAAGGCTTGTATCTCTGCACTAAAGGATCAGGTTTTATGAATTCACTGACTTTTCCATACCTCAAGACAGTACCTTCTAAAGTTCCTGACACATGTAACATGTACGTTTGTGGGAAAAGTGGGGGGCAGACCCCAAAACATCAACCATCATTTGAATGAATTTATCTGCCGTTAGTCCGCATCTTGTCACGATCTTATCTCGTAATTTGTACTTCTTACGTTGGAATGTGCGCTCACCGATGGAAAAAGTTACAAATGGAGGAAAAAAGAAACAAGTGTACATGAATTGTGTGATTGTGTCTTCATCAAAAAGTTGGTTTACTACATACCAGGCATGTGTGTACAAGGTGAAGGTATTCCGATTACAACATAACTCTTACATAACATCTGTCCTCCCAGCCTGCCACCAGCTCTTCTCCCTGTCACTGCGGGACGGTTTAATTAATATGGAGCACCATACTCCCTAGAATATCTTGTAACCCAGGAGATGGCCCCTGTTACTGTGGAGATCCTTGATCCCGCTGGTTGAGGCACACACATCACAAAGGAACTGCTGAAGCAACTCGGCTTGTTTTAGTGAAACAACTTTTTTTCTTCCTTCTGTTTTGTTAATTTTTCCTGTGTGGTACAACCCGATATCATTTATTTAGTATTACACTTGTTTGTTAATTTTGCTTTTATCTTTTTCACTCGATGTTTGCAGACATTGTCGGGTTATATTCATTATTTACGAGGGTACATGTATAGGGACCTAGCTAGTCTGGATGTCGTATCACACTAAGGAGACAACAGTAGAATCCTATAGGCCGAACTTTGACGGTTCCCAGTGCCCTTGGTAATACACCAACAGCTCTCTCACTAATGCACCAGCTTTGCTGTACTTGATAAACTATCATTGCGACATTCAAATTGTATTCAACTCATCTGGGATTAAACTTATATATTCTGCACTTCTGTTTCACTCGTGACTTAATGACAAATCGTCTAACACATTTTTGTCACTTTGATAGGAAGATGGTGAAACTCCAGGTTATTTTACTTATATTTAAGAATTCCCAGTACAAATGATGTCAAGCATTAGTGCCTTCGTGGAACTCTTGCAGTAAACATCCCTGCAGATGTGTAGACCGCTTTACTATAGATCTACGTAATAGGTAGAACTGTGGTGTTACATAATCGTACCAACATCTAGCTATAAAGATTTGGGAGGAAATTTCGGTTCAGGGTGACAATCGGTAGGTATGTTAACAGTTTCGTCATTAAAACAGTTGCGATGATTAGAAGTCCCTTGACATATATATAATTATTGGAAACTTCTGGTAGAGAAACAGTTCTAACCAGGATATTGTTATTTTCAGAAATTAAAATGATTGAAAATTCAGTATTATGCAATACGAGTAATATTTCAAATTTTAAAAATTCAAAAATTTTAATTTTGAGATGAAAATCAATATTGTGAGTAACATTGACGTGAAATGTATTAGCATGACTGGTATTGGTGACAGAACAGCAAGTGTTGGTATGAACAAAGCTAATGTGAAAAGTTGATTATAATTTAAATTTTTCCTATAAAACGTGATGGAATTAGATTTTACTGACCATTCTTATCTGTCGAAGATTTCTCCCTTTAAAAATGATATTAAAACAAGAAAATTTAAGACTCGTAATTTACATCAGAACTGCAAACATTTTAGATTTTAAGTGGAAAGAAGCAGCTGGGGACTAATAGCAAGTGTTTATGATGATAATGTGTGATACAGGTGCCTTGTTGTTGTGTTGTTTGTTCCTCTGTACTTCCTGTATCACCCTCCATCCATCTGTCTATGTATCACCCTCCATCCATCTGTCTATCAACTCCACATCTACATACAGAACATATTTATACTTGCATGTACTAGGTAGGTGACAGTATTTATGTTATTAACAAAGACCTAAACCCAAGGTCATATCAATAACTACAGGTCAAAGGTGAAGCCCATCTCATAGTCAAGTTATGGTTTCTAAGTAATAGATTAAATCCATACAAGTTTGTATTATAATAATGTGCAGAAGATTTTAAGGTTATCTGAACAATTACAGGTCAAAGGTGAAGCCCAGTTCAAGGTCATACTTACAATTACAGGTCAAAGGTGAAGCCCAGCTCCAGGTCATATTCACAATTACAGATCAAAGGTGAAGCCCAGTTCCTAATCATATTAAGCTCATGTGAGAACAATTATATGTCAAAAATGTATCCTAAGTTTGTTTGAAACACAAACATATTTGAAAATAATTGTTTACGCACTTCAAATACACCCGTTTCCTTTGTCAGGAGCAAATGACTATTTTTATGGTCTACATACAACTGAAAATACATCAAAAAGGAATGGTGTGCTGAGGAAGGGGAAATAAGGTGTAAAATTGTATTAAAAACAAGTTCTCCCAATTACACTGTAATATGATATAGGGATGGGCGTAAGGCTTACCCGTTTCCCCCAATTTTTGGCGATTTCATTCCAAAAACATGTTATAAGATGAAGCTCATCTCAAGGTTAGGTTAAGGATTAAAGGTCAAAGGTTAAAAATCACCTGTTCTTGTACAAACCTGGTAAAAATGCTAATTTATCACTGAAGTTACACGCAGCTTTTCAATGTCAAGATCCTATCTGGAGGTCAGTGTTCAATATTATATTGTATGGTGTTATATGTTGTGTGAGTTGAAATAACATTGAAAGTTCTTAACATGTGAAGTCGGATTTAGATTATCATAATGATCCTGTCACAACGGTTTCTGTTGAAGAAGACAGCAGTCAAACATGATAACGTCCCTACCTTAAACCAATTATAGACCAATTAATCGGAGCACTTGTTGGTTGTACAACAATAGCACTCCTTTTGTTGGGAAGCCATGTTTTTTTTCTGCATCTGATGTGTGTAAAGACAATTTTAATGAAGCGCCCTAAAATAGCAGCATGTTTTTGAAGCTTGCCGGTGGGAGGCTGTAGTTGAAGCAGGTTAGCTGATGATCATGGAGCCTGTCCAGGATTTAAATAATGAATTGGTAATTACTACAACAAAATGCATGTAAGTTATGTATAAATAACCGGGCAGGCGGAAAATGAACAAACATCTGGTTATAGGGTACACGTCACTGTGTGGAATACACAGACATCGGACCACACAGCGGAGAGAACACCAACTCAACTCTTTACCATGGGGAAATATTGCTGGTAGTACAGAATAGAAAAATCCATAAAAACTTTATTTCAATGTCAGGAAATTGAGAGCAAAGCTGTTAATTTCTCTTTGAATTGTATTACAAGGATTTGTCAAATTATTCACAAAATAAGTTTCCATCGTACTGATATTTTCATCGTCACAACTTCTTCCTACCCCCAACCCCACCCCTTCCCCCTCCTTTGAAGAAGGGAATTCACTGACCTAATCTTGTTATGTTATAATAAGATGTTTTTTCATATAATTTTTAAATGTAATGATGTAAATATTTACATACTTCATTGAACTTTAATTTGTTACCGTGTAAATTTACTTTTGTCACTAAGAAAAGGTGTATAATTAATGTCACATTCCTGTATATATCACATTTTCATCTAACAAATTTATCATGACATTAACAGAAATGTACTTTACAAGGACATGATTTAATACAGCTGTAACTTGTAACGTAATCAGGGATATTTGAACGGGCAATGCCTACCAGTTTTACATATTGTATTGTGATATTTATGGTTTCTGTAATCCAATTTGTAAAAGGGCTGTACGATATGTACTGTTGCCAGAGTCTGTTTATATCTTTATTACATTGTGTAATAACACGGTCTCGGGTATCAAAGTTATGTCAAACATTCAAAAGACAGAGATTTTAATGCGTTTATGTTACACACAAGTCTTCCCAAGATACAAGCAAAAGGAAAATTCTACACATAAAAAGTTCATTTTGAATTTTTGACAAGCAATTTTCTCCCAGCACAATTTTGTTTTTCCTAACCTGCCAGTGGAACGCCTCTGCTACCAAGACAGGTGCCGTGTGATCTGTCTCATCATAGCAAATCAATATCATTTTGATGCTTGAAACTGAAATAGAGCAACATCTTACGGAGCTGTCCTCCAATGGTTGTTTTTGAAGATTTTGATAGTTTCAATTTTCCCGAGACTAGTTGAAAAACAGGAGAAGATTTGTTGGAAAATACTCCAGTAAATAACTTAGGAGACTGTTGTAGATTTCTCTGTCATTTCCATCCCTCTCACTTATAACTAATGTTAGAACGGTTTGAACATACTCTATGTTTAGCACAGGTCTTCATGTTCTTAAATTTCTACCTTTCAATCTTTAAAAAAAGTTTAAAATCTCTGATACATGGTCTGTGTTTATGTATAATAGGCATGGTCTGATGTGGACTTCCAAATTGAACTTTTGGAACATTTATCGACATCTTAACAACTGATTGATTGAAATATCTGGAATATTTATTGACGTTTTAAGAAAACTTTGGTCAGAAATCTTACATGGAACCATTTTCAGCCAGTATGGGTTTGAATTTTCTGTGAGACTACAGAGCCGACAATGCTGGTTTGTAATTTATCTG